ATCAGATCAGGGACATAATCGACACCATCAACGGATCAGAACTTCCGAGGACCTGTACTCATTCCGTCACCTCGCATCGACAACAAAGCATGGCACCTTACGCTTGAAATTTCTCTTGTTGATCCTGAATTCAATCTCCCTGGTAAAGCTTAACGGCGAACAAATGTTCTTCAAATTGGTAAGTTAGATTGCTGAAAATTATCTACTTAAACTTCTAGAGAACTCAAATAATATTTTGAAATGAATCCCGGGATAAAGGGGAATTTTGAATTTAGCCAAATCTCTTAAAATCTTGAATAGTACTAAAGTACCAAAAATTAGGTCTAAGATATAAAAAACAGCAATCCACAGTGGTCCAGAATGAAGATTTTTTTTTGCCTCAACCAGAGATATTAACATTTTAAAAGGGCATAATTTTAGTAGAAAAACTTCAATAACTCTTGATTAGCGACAAGCTCTGTGCAGCAAAAATTTGCGCCTTCTAAAGATCTAAAATTTATTTGAAGACACCTTTGCTGAGAAATTTGAAATTAGAAAACTAGAGCAAAACAACTTTTTTTTAGAGGCACTCTAACTCAATTTAAGAACATAGCTCTAAATCGGTCAATTTAAAAGACAAACAAAGTTGCTTGAAATTAGGTCAGCTATAAATTTGCAGAAGAATGAATACCTTAACTTTTTCAAGCAAAAAAGTTAGATTTTTGATTTCATAAAAAACATTGTCATAAGAACCGACCTAGAATTCACTGTCGTAAAAATGTTGGCCTAGCTATAAGGAACTACTTTGTAGAAGAGATTTTTAGTCTATAGTTTCAATTTCAGACACAAAACATATTCTTCCAGCTAAATCTGCATTCTGGACCACTGTGAAATGTTCCAAAGTCTGAAATTTTTAATATTTTTATAATTTTAGAACCTTGAAAACTTTTCATGCTACAAATTTTGAAATATTTCTCCATTTCTGGGATATTGAATGCACGTCCATAGAGGATTTTTCTCACATACCTTACTGCTACACTTTTCTGAAAGTTCTAGCTCCATACGCCTTTTTAATAGAAAGTTAGCGATTGATTCAACCTCTGGTGGTGAATAGGAAGCGGAACACTGAGATGCTCCAACACTTATCCAAAGTAGAAAAATTTAATTCTGTATCATTTGTATGTGTTTACAAAAATTCTTCCAAAAAACCCTAATAGGATAAGGTTAAAACTTTATAATACAAACGTTCATGTAAAGTTCCATAAGCATTTCAGTTAAAGTTTAGCAGGGATTTTAAACAATTTTTAACCATTTTCGGTAAGGTTAAGTTTTACGGTTCGCGTTTATGCGGGAACTCGATGCAAACTAACTCTATATCTAGTATACACGGTGGGCCCCACGCCCTTTTTCGGAAATCCCCTCTGGGATCCAAACTATGTTGTTAGGGTAATTTCCCTCTACAATTCCCACCCCCCTCAAATAGGGGATTGCCCATCTGGAATTCCCAGAGACGAACCAGCCCAAGGCTGAAAGTCTTTTTAATAAAAAAAAAGTATACACGGTAAGAAAAAAGTACTCAACGGCTAGTTAACTTTTACCTACTTTTGAATAGTTTGTCTACTTTTCTCCTTCTAATGTTGTCAATAATAGAGGAGCAAAACCACCCAACAGGGGTAATAAAGTGTGGGAGCCCAACGTTGAGTATAATCATATTTACCTACTTTTGGGTAGAATGCTAGTGGAAAATTCCATGCGAATTGCACACAAGTAAATGAAAACGACTTTGACCTGCTCTACCTACTTTTGGGTTCCTGCACTATAGTGCCGAGATGAGTGGAAAGAACTTACTTTTGGGTATTTTATTCTTACCGTGTAGAACCACAGTAAAATTTAATTGCATGGCTACTGTGATTATGATTTCCTATAGACTTCTCTGGCGTTTGTGAATTGCACAAGTATTAGTGCAGAACTTTGGGTAAATTCAAAGGTTTTCTTGCACTAATACTTATAATTTACCCCGAGTTCTGCACTAATACTTGTGCATTTCACAAACGTCAGAGAAGTTTATAAGATTTTTGCTCTATAATTCGATAGTCCCTTCTATATCGAGTTATAGAGAATTCAATGTATTTGAGATCTTGAACATTATTATTATAGATATTGCTGATTGCATCTGAAACTGGACTGTCCCAAAAATGCACGTTTCCGTCAAATCGTTTTGATGTCTTCGGAGCACTTATTATTTTTTTATATCTTTATTAAGGAGATTTTCAGCCCTGGGCTGGTTCGTCTCCCCGGAGCACTTATTGCTTGCATCATAAGGAATAAGTGCACCGAAGACACCAAGACGATTAGACGTAAACTTGCAATTTTATCACACTTTTTAATAAGGGGGGAGAGGTTGTTCATTGAAACTTCCGGTCCGCTTCGTAGCATAGTGCTTGCTAAGAGGTGCCAGGTGGTAACCCACTGATAACCTGACGATCGGCCAAATTTGAAAGACGTCTGCATTGAATTGTCTCACTTTGTAATATTCCGCCCACTATATCACAATCAATTGCGAGTAGCTGAGCGGAATGGAGACAAGGAAAGCATTTGGTACAGGACCAAGTCTCTCCCGACTGGCGCCAAAACAATGAACCTGGAAGCAACTGGATCAAGTTGTCATGGGGCACGAAATGATCCTGTTGCATGGCTTGGAGCTGTTGCAATCGGGAAAGGGGGGGTTGGTGCTAATGTTTAGTTTGTTTTTATAATTTCAGGTGTTAAGGTGGTTCGCTGCCTCTGGATAGTGGGTTTGACGGTGTTTCAGCAAGAATAATATTGAGACATACGGAAATGCAACAAACGTGTCAAATTAACTGCATTGGTAACGAAAACACAGAGGAGCGTACACCTGATGTCACACACTAAGGTGATGGTAATAAGGTCGGTGATAATATGACATTTACACAAAAGCGGACATCAAATCAGATTGGTCAACGTACCAAAATTCGAAACTTCGATTAACACGTGGAATCTGTGCAGCACCAGTGGAGAACTTTCGAAAGCCGCAGGTGTCATCAACCGCTACCTGCGGTATATAACTTGTGGCTGGTGGCCTCACAAATGGATCTCAGATGTAAATGTCATCAGAAGCCGATAGCAATAGAAACGAAGTCTGCAGGCAAGCGTTTGATTATGAATTAAATCCGCCAGAACATCGCAGCAAAGGCAAATACTAAGGCGGCGGAGCTTCAACAAGGAAATTAAGCAAGCCGATAGGAATTTGACCTGGGCCCAGGTCAAGCAGCTGCCCAGAATGGAAGTCTTTCACGTTGGCCCTGTGCACCACTGGAGGTTCCCAGGTATTTGAGTACGACGACGATGGACGTTGCCCCTTGGAACGGAATGAAAGCGAACAAACCTGATGTTGCACAACAAGCCGGCGTGTTTTGTTTGTTTTTTTTTTTCGTTTTAGCAAAACAAGAAAATCCTCTATCTCTCTTCTTTATTCTTTTAATCTCTTACTATACCCTAATCGGACGCTAGTGGGACCAAAAAGCCTGCTAGTGAAAGGAAAGTCGTTATGCTATACGGTCTAGCATAGGCCACCGTAGGTTCATGCCTGGCTTAAGTGCAGATCGGTAGGCAGCAGCCAGCCAGGGTGTGAACTGAACAATAACAATAACAATTTTATCACACTTTTTAATAAGTAAAACGCGCTTATTAGTCCAATTTGGTGTGAAATGCGCAATATTAAAAATGAAAAAAAAAAAATACATTTGCATCTCAAAAATTTCTTTAATGTGAAAAACTGTGAAAAATTTACATGTAGGGTAGAGAACTACTTCAGCCTAATCGCCCATTTTGGGCCTATCGAGCAGAAATCTTCAAATAAATCTATGATTTCAGAGTTAACAAATCAATTATGCGTTTGGTACGATGCTTTAGTTAATAAGCTACGGAACGAAGTCAATTAGAACGCGTGATATGGAGGTTTGCACCCATTATTCCCAAACACAAAAGAAGCGCCCCGACCGAATCAATTTTCATCGTCATCCGATAGGCCGAAGTGATTTCATTGGCGTTTCAATGCGTTAGGAGAATTCGTAGGCCGAGTTTGGCGTCAAGAAGCAGTGTTAGACTTTTGACAATATCTCAACGATTGGTTTCTCTTTATCAAATATCATGGTACATACGGAAAGGTAAATAAATTTGGAAGCCATCAGTAATAATAACATTCCATTTGGTGCTAAACTGCGCTAGATTAAGAAAGATTAAGTGCGGGTTGTGCTTAATAGGCCGGAAATGGGGTATTTAACCCTAACATAGACTAATTTCAAAATTCTGAGATTCATCCGAAACATCAAATTTCGGTCTTAAAAAATCAGATTTTTTTTTTCAATTGAAGTGTTTTTCCCAGCTTGCAGGTTCGGTATTACCAATCAGGAGACGGCGGGTTCGACTCTCGGTCCGGTCGAGAAAACATTTAGGGTTGGAAATTTTCTCGGCTTTCCTGGGCATTAAGTATTATTGTGCTTGCCACATAATATATAATTTCATGCATTGGTTGGCATAGAAAGGTCTCAATTAATAACTGTGGGAGTGCATCTAGAACACTAAATTGAGAGCCAGCAAAACATTCGCTACAGAAGCGTAAAAAGCCTAGAAGAAGAAGATGTGGAATTACTTCGTAACAAGTCGCTTCTATTTACACCGAATCACACACACACCCTTCAAACCGCCAGCTGATGAACGCTGGTTGGTCTAATTATTTCGAATCATACCTACACGGCCGATGAGACTAGCTAACTTAAGTTATTAAAAATTTCTCATATAACTGAGTAGAAGTGACTCTTTCTCTCTCTGAATTAGTCTCATCGGCCCTGTAGGGTTATAGTAGTAAGCTTCATGGTCATTTCAACAAACCCCGTATGTAACATACCACATTCACTACCAACAAACCTCATGACTCGCTGGAACCACCTGATTTCATCGTGTGCTTTCCCGTTTTTCTTTTTCCGTTGTCCATTCAACAGTCACCGATCGTGGTTTGGAAGATGAAGGCACCGGAAAAGAAGCCCCTCGTGCGCCCGGAAAAGCCGGAAGAGGTCCGTGCCAAGGTTCGACGAGCCTCGCAGAAAAAGGCGCAAAATCCGGTGCATGCTCTCTCGGAGTTCCAGAGCCCAACGGATGCCGTTTAGGCCAGGTAAATCCTAACGCACAGCGCAATCTAATTCCTCTATTCCAGCAGCTCGTGATGGTAGCTCGCCGAAGCTACTGTGCAACACTTTAGACCTAAAAGACACACCTACCTATTATGTAGTGGATTTGTATGAGTTTACACGTCTATGTTTTTTTTTTTGTGCTTCTATCGGCAAAGGGAAAAAGCGGAAGTCATATAGGGTAGAAATTTATTCCAAATAAATGTTTTATTTATTTTTATGTCACATATATGAAAACTTATATTTTATCGAATGACGAGGAAAGGATGGACGCAAAATGACTGAAAAAAATATCGCATATTGAGGTGGTAAGGTAACGAAGTGAAACACGCATCTTTTTGGCACTCTCAAATTTGAAATTGAAACCCCATTTTATCGATGTACGTGAGTTATATCTATTTTATGATTTTTTTTATAGATGTTCATCGTCGGTTCATATTTATTTAACAATCAAAATATATACACATAAACGAACTTAAGCATTTTTCTAATTGGCGCATTTCGCAAGCGATGATCAGTATTTTAGACACAAGAAAAAGACATGATATATAAATGTGTATGAACAAATAATATTCAATGGAAGGCATAAATGACTATTACGATTTAAAATGGATAAATTTTACCGTTGAACATTTGCCGAATTTATCTTCTGACAAACGACAGAGAGAGAAAAAACGTAAATTATTGATATTTGAAACGGAACAGATTTATGAAAGCTCAAATTAATCATACCTATAACAGGGGGAGGCACCTCAAAATTGCGGGGAAGAATGCCATCCCTCTTTTGACTTTGAATACCTATATAGTAGTAGTGTTACGATGATGTTAGAAAGTCTCAAACAGGTAAATTGTATTGCAAAGAATTTACTTTTCACACATACTGTATTACCCATACATACACAACACAACACGACACGAATATTATACATATATACGATAAACAAAGCGTAACTATTAGACAGTGGATTCGAAAGTGTTAACAGTTTGCATTTGGTAGAACAAAAAGAAAAATCCTTCATTAGATTCAGATTTTTTTTATTAACTGGCCGCATACGAGTGAAAGGTTGGTATCACATTTCCCGGCGGAATGACATGTCTCGGATTGTGATATTTCCCGGAATGACATACATATTTTTCGTAATGCCGTTTTCCGGAATGACACATTCTCCGAAATTTTATTTCCCAGAATGAGATATTTATCGGAATACCATTTTCCGGAAACACTGCCGAGTAAGCCATTTTTAAAATTGCATACCTAGGGTACAACTGGCTTTTTGTCCGAATTACTGTTTTTTAGGCTAGCTTATTTCATCCATGAATGGTGGGGCCTCAGAAGGAGGACTACGTCTTTAATTTCTATACTGGGGGTCACATTAAAAACAATCAAAATTTAGGCATTTAACGAAAAAATCCCAAACACGGACGTAACGATAGAGCGCAAATCGAACACACGACACATGAGCGAGTTCAATGCTCGGTTGACCACTCACCAGTTCACCCATGAAAGGAAGGGAGGAGAAAAGCAGCTGTAAAAAAAACGCTTGCCAAATCGTTTTCTTCGTCCTCATTCTCTGCTTGATTATCAAGTGGACTGTGGTCATCTTTTCGCTCGCTCTCTCGAGTAGTTTGGTGTTTTAAGTCGGTCGTTTGGTCGTGGTACACGTCGAGAGTTTTCGCTTTGGCTAGCAACGTCTCGTCAGTTCTCGCCTCTCTTGTGGCAGTCGCTAAATCGGCGGTAGTGGAGCAACAATTGAATGCCTCCACTCACCCGTTGAAAAAACAAAAGGTGATGGGTCGCCAAAGTGTGGATGCAATCGCATTCGATCAAGATGCCCCGAAAGGCCTGGCAAGCAAGCTGGTGCCAGCAACCACTCGGAAAGGTTGCTTCAGAGTAATCACCGAAACACACCTGAAGCCGGAGATAAATGTTTACCTTCCCGATTTTCGGCTCGTAAGGCTAGACCGGACCAGCTCCTGCGGAGGAGGAGTGGCTATCGCATTAAGGAGAAATATTGGCTGTCGACTGCTACCGAGTTTCCTACTGATGATGATAGAAGCGGTGGGTGTAGAAGTCTCCACTCCTGTCGGCCCTATTACCAACAATCAATACGCAACTAACGATTTTAAATTGGCTCACTACTTGACTAGCCTATTGGTCCCAAGCAAACGATTAACGTATCCCATTCTAGTCGAAATTCTAGTACTACGCAATGTTTGTTTTGATTTTCTATGAAAGTTTGACAGATAAAATGAGGGGTTATTGGTTTTTCCTATGTTTCGAGGGGTGAATCGATTAGCTTGGGACCGAAGAGAGTGCCAGAGCTGAGCCAAAAAGTTGAGCACGTTATTTCGGGACCTTCTGGTCTTAGAGTTACCTCTATGCTATTACCATCATTGCGGCATACTGTCCCAAACAAGTCACCATCAGGGACGGGTCGGCAGCAGACCTGCGGAGAGGAATCATCAAACTAACTCGACGCCGTGAGAAGTACATCATCGCTGGCGACCTGAACGCCAAACACCAGGTTTGGGGCAACAGTCGACGCAACCAAAACTGCACAATCCTGAACGACGACCTGCAAGAGGTTCACTACACTATAATAGCGCCAGACACTCCCACCCGCTTGAGCCGGTCTGGCGTTCACTCCACCATCGACATCTTCGCCAGTAACATGCGAAACAACATCTCGCAACCTGTGACCCACCAGGAGCTGAGTGCGGACCACTATCCAGTGGTGGCCGATTTGGGCTCATCCGTCAACCGATTCCAAGATTCCCGACACAAATAACTATCAAATCAATACGAAGACGACTGCGAATGTACTCATATCGACCGGAGGAAAGACTTCCCGCAATAGGCAGCAAGACTGGCATCGACTTGCACTGGTGTGAAAGAGTCAAGTAGCGCTAGTTGTTCTTTCACAACAATCCAATTCAATGCTGGCCGGAGCACGTCTCAGTGTGAATGCTGCCATATACTTGCAACCAGGAAGGCTCCAGCCTGTAGCAAAAACGTTGCATCAACTCTGATCGGCCACAAATGTGTCATGAGATCCACCGCTGTGGACCATCATATTAGCGTTGCGCGTTACATCGTCACCATCATCGGCGTCGTGAAGCAATTTTAGACCGTCTCTTTTCAGACCACCGCTAAGAAGTTGCAACCCTCAAATGTTACACTACTAGCAATGTAATAATAATTGTTACTATTCAACTACAAAATTTCGTATAATTAAAAGAACTATGAGCAAACACGTTTGTTCCGACAACTCACGGCCTTTGCGCTACATATCTTAGATGTAAAGTATTCATCACCTATTTCTTATACCACCGGCCTACTGGTATAGGTAAGTAGTAAATCCTCATTCAGAATTTAATGTCACAAACAAACTTTTAAAATTACAGGTATCACACCAAGCATGTCCCGTATGCTGTTTGGTGTTCCGTGGATTTCCCGCAGGTTCTGATGCTGAGGGCATACGCATAGAATGTGCTCGATTGAAACTGCGATTCTACAACCGACGCAAGTTCTGTGGAACAGCGTTCCTCCAAAATTGTGCGTGATCTTGCTGTGACCGGTTCTCAAACGCGACGCTATCTTCTGATCCCGCTGTTTCAACGGTTCTGTTCCTTTGATCCGTCTGATAAAGAGGGAGCGGTTTTGGGCCCACTTCGCGTCCCAAGTTTCACTCCCTGCGCTTCGGTCAGATAGCGTATAGGGTATCGTTGTGTCAATTTGGTCGTGGCACATTTCGAGTTTGAGAGAGTAATTGCAGTTAGATCAAAAGTGCCTTAGAAAAATGCAAGTACTTTCGCAGATTACCCGAAGTTGCTATAGTGAAGGTATGATCACAGACAAGCAAACACTCTTAAAACGTTCATCGACATCGTTTTTAACAGTCAATTTAAATGTTTCTTAGTTGATAGTACCGCCACTTGTGGTGCACATAATCAATTCCCTAGCGTTTGACGTTTACATACTACAACCATCTGTTGAGTGCATTGCCCATCATAGTATATACGACAGATGGCGGTAGGGTTCACAATGATAAATGGTCAATGTGTTGTGTCTGCTTGTCTGTGATATAACATTGAGGTAACGTTAGGATAAAATCAAAACATTGAGAAATATAACGCATCACTTTCAGGAATACTACACTTCGCAACCGATGAACCATTCTGACGGCCACAGGAGTAGTCAACTAACCATATAGTCGCAATATAGCTTGTATATTCTTACTTTTCTTGAGTGTGGTTAGTTTAGGGTTACCATATTAAAAACTTGAAAAGGAGGACATTTCATTTGAGGTTTGGAGATTAAGGAGGGCAATTATTCCCTTTCTTAACATTGAAGGAGGACTTCTGAAAAATGCATCAAACTAGCCTTCATAATTCATTTTTGATACTTGGAAATGATCTAGCTCTGATCTAGATTATCTAGATCTGATGAAAACTACAGCTTTACAGCCTTAAAACCATCCCAACTTTTATCATGTTAAAAAATCAGGAAACATGTCATCTAAGCAACCTGTTAATTTTACCATTGATTCAGCATAGGACTCAAAAGCCCTGCCATATTGGTAGCGAAGCGGCGCACTTAGCGTTCTATTATTGATATTATTCCTTACATTCGATTTCACGATTCGTGTGCCTCTTCGCTCTCAGTATGGTAGCGGCCTAAACAGGGGCCACATTGGGCATCTCGAAACGAAAAGCTTTTTCGTATACAAGCGTTTGTACAAAAAGTCTTTCGCTTCGAGATTCGCAATGTGGCCCCAGAAGTACCTAAAATCCCATAGAACCAGAGCGTCAAAATCGAACACATGTTGGATTCAATCTGTGTGGCTGTGTTCCATTTAGTGAATTTTAACTTAAATTTTACAGATATAAATTTTTCAAATGCACCTGCTATTGTACCAGTCTTATTTATGGCAGCCCAGGAATCAATTTCGACAAACACCACCAATTTGACAGATAGAAAATTTTCATATAAACCAGCTATTGTACCAGACTTATTTCTAGTAATCAATTTTGACAAACACCTCGAAAATTACACGATCAACAACAGAGAGATTTTCGAACAATATAATTTATTTTCGAAATGTAAAATTTATATAAAATTCAGATAAATGGATCACAGCCTAGACCACCGACAAACCGACATGACACTTAATTCTGACTTATGTCCAAAAATAGTAAACGTCCAATTTAAATGTGCAGTGATCCGAACTGTCAAAACCATACGATTTTTTGATCTAGATAAAAATAATTTGTCCTGAATAGATCAGACCCAAACCAAGTCATAATTTTTGCATGCGGGTTCATGGTTTAGCTAAATATTTCACACGAACACGGAGCCAGATGTCAGTAGTGTGTTCCATTTGATAATTTTTCACTGACAGTTCGAAAATAAATTAAAATTTTCGAAAACCCCTCTGTTGTTGATCGTCCGATTTTCGAGTAATTGTTTGTAAAAATTGATTCCTGGTTTGTCTGAAATAAGTCTGGTAGCATAGCAGGTTTATTTGAAAATTTTCCATCTGTCAAATAATCAGTGTGTCTCAAAATTGAGCGTATGGGCAATTTTTTGAAAGACTGTGAGCAGATAGATTTTTGAAATCTTGGCTGGTGGTTGAACAACTATTTATTGATTTTTCGGTATAGCTTTGGACTTTATTGGCAGAGTGTGTATGAAGTTTGAGTAATTTTAGTAAATTCATAATTTCAGTTGTAGGCGGATTTTAGTAAAATTAGCGGCATTTTAAAGATCTTTATTATGACTACAGATGAGCAAAATTTCAATATGTTTGACTCATTGTATTTCAAGAAAATGTGTTTTTGTTAGGAAATCTAGTTTTTCTAAAATAACTCTAACTTCTTACACACTCATTCAAATAAGCCCAATACTATACCGATGACCAATTAATGGTTGATGAGCCAGCGGCCGGAACTTTAGAAATCTATCTTTTTAAG